TAATTCATTAGTAAATAATTAACAATAAGTATTGTTTTATATATTAAGTTTAAGTATCCAAGTAAAGTAACTTTCTTAAAAAGTAAAAAAAAAATGTGGAGACGCAAGATTTTTTTGGGAGGGACTAGTTTTTAATTATATAAAAATTAACAGCAAGCCATCCTTATTGTAAATACTAAAAAATTAAAATTTTTTAAAAAATATTAAAGTTAATATTTTTGGAATAATTAGGATTCATATACTTATTATTTTTATACATATCAATTACTCTCTCTTATTGAATTTAGTTATCCTACATTTCAAATAAGAGTGATCTGATTTAGTTATCCTATGATATATTTTAGTAATATATTTAATGATAATATTAATTTTACCTTTATCTCAAAAGAAATAAAAATATATTAGGTTTTTTTGCTTAATTATAAATAAGGGTAAAAATAAAAAATAAATTTTATTATTTTAATAAATTAATTTTTTCATAATTATAAATAAATTAATTGAGATAATTAAATTAAAAATATATATAATTTTAATCACTAATCTTTTCATTATAAATTCTTATAAAAAAATTAACTATTAAAAAATTATAAAAATTACTTTTTTAGTATTCTAAATTTAATTCCAAATTTTAGTTCAAAAGTTTTCCGTCCTACACGGTATATCATTATCCAAATTATTAAGGTTGCGTGGAAAAAATAAGCAAGACCTAGGCGAGAGGAGACTTCACCCAAACTTTATTTCTAAAGTGAAGGGGGCGAGGGGTAGGGAAGAGTTTTATGGAACTGAAACACGTCTTTTATAGTGGTAAACGGTCTTAATTCAGGACCAATACTATTGGTTCGGGATGGTCATTCATTTTTAAAGTTAAAGTGAAGGGAGAAAGAGTTTTATGAACTCGAACACGTCTTCTATAGTGGTAAACAGTCTTAATTTAGGACCCATACTATTGACTCGGAACGGCCATTCATTTCTAAAGTTCATATTAATAACGAAGGCTGAACGGAAAAAGTAAAGTTGACGTGGACGGCTTGACAGTAAGACTTATTGGTTAACCCCACTTAAAGT